AGCAAAGCTTCGCTGGCTGGGGAGTTCTGGGAGTTGAAGTCCACACATCTTAAAGTTGCCAAGGTTGAAGAACACTGCTCTAAAAGCCAGTATCAATTTCAATTGCTTGCAATAGAATTTCCCAAGTTCAGCAACTTCCAGATGGGTAGACTTCCCTCCAGCTGGCTGGAGAATTTGGAGAGCTGAAGGCCACACATCAGGAAGGCACCCGTGTTGGGAAAACCCCGGCAAGGGATTTAGTAGCTATAACTGCCATTCTCAATTACTGAACTTTAAATTATGTAATAAATAAAGTGTTTTCCAATATAAATCCAGCCATATGAAATCAAACAATTGAAGATATTCTTATATATTTTTTGTGAGATAAACAGCTGTCATCTGCTGTTTATCTCACAGAAATATTAAACCTATGTTAAGAAAGGTGAAGCGGAAATCTCACGAAAGACCAATGGCTGAGTCAAAATGAGAATTTAAAGATCACATATCTCCTTGGCATGACTTTTGTCAGTTAAGATATCCATCATGTAAATTACCAGCATACCAGATTACAGCACTGGAATATGCATACATAAGAAAACATACATGCATATACACATTAGTATTTTTTTCATTCTACACAAACACTTTTTAAAGGGAGTATGGGAGAAGCATGAAATGCATTTTTACCTGTTTTCTAGTCCTTGTCTTCCCTGTCCGTAGCTTGATGTATCTTGCTATCAGTTCATTGCGTCCTAAAGCACAAAAAGCAAAGATGTAATGTGATGAATGTGGAGCCCTTTTTGTCCCACTTCCTAGAATATAAAAGGCTGCCCTCTGAAAAATCAGATCTAGCTTCCTGCATCCTCCTGCTCCTAACTCAATGATGACATTTTACCAGAAGATGGCACTAACATAACACTTCTCCCATTGAACAAGGTGGCCTGAAAAAGTTCTGCTTGAGGCCCTGGTTATTTACACACTGAACCAGATCTCTGCAGCACCCCATAGTGTTGGCAAAAAAACTAGTGCTTAAGCTGGGCATTCAGAGAACAGTACAAACATGGGACACCCAGACATGTAGCAAGAAAATCATTGTTCCCTTTATGTAAGTTATGGGATTTCCTCCCACTCTTCGGGAGAGGATCAAGATCTGTAGCCTATGCTGGGAACCCAGAATACTTCTTGCCCTATTCTACCATGTTTAATTCAGCTCTCACAGGAAGATGTGTGCATGCTTGGATCCAGACTCGCTCGCTCGCTCACTCACATCTTCCTAGCTTCCGTGCATAATTCCAGGGAAATTTTATAATACTATACAGAAGAGGAGAGGAGGTTAAAAAAGCTGTAAAATACAAAGGCATGGAAGCTCAGAGTTTGAGGTCTGATATATGACAGTGAACAGGACGTGCAACCCATTGGGATATTTTAAGTGGCACTGGCTTTTGAAAGGAGCCCTTCCCAACCTCCTCCTTGTCCTAATTTGAAGCAGAAGAGCTTTTGCTCCACATTTTACAGGCCAGCTGTGGCCAATCTAAATTCAAACGTCAGAGCAGCTGGGAGCTTTCTTTTCCCTCAATCCCCCCCCCAACATGGAGGGGGTGGGGGAGAACAGGGTGGGGAAGCACGCCAGATTTATTTTGATGGACCAGATGGTATTGGCTGAAGCTAGCTGAAATGCCCTTGCAGCTAACTTAGAACAGAAAGAGAGAAGTTTGAAGGCTGAAGCAAGTGTGGTTTTTCTGGCAATGCCAGAGTCCTGTTTTCCTTTCAAGGAAAGACACTGGTTTTCAGCTTAGAGGACAGGCCTCTTAATGAGGTCACATCACAGCCCCTCAGCCATGCCTCTTCTTTCCCCTCCCCACCACCATAGGTTTTTACAGACAAGACCAGGTGCTGTGCCCAGTCAAACAACACCATGTGAGAGGGAAAGAGAAGGGTGATATCGAATACTGAAGTAACAATACCATCATAAAAGCCATCTGGCTCAGTGCACATCCCTTGATATGCGCAGTTCCTGACATGGGTGAAAAAAAGCAGACCTCAGAAGATAAGCTCTATCTTATTTGGGGCAGAGAAAGGAAGACAGAGTAGGGCTACATGTAACTTAAGAGTTGGTTCCCTCTTAGGAGTTGTGTGCATGCGTGCATGTTTCTGTCGGTACCTATTTAAGGCTTTAGACAGCATTCCCTAACCTGGTGTTACTACCGTACTGTACTTCACTCATCATCCCCAACTCCTATATTAATATTTAATTGTTTTCACTAATCACAGCCATTCTTTATTCATAGTTCACAAAAATGGAGAAACAGAGCTCAAACGGTCACTTAAGAACCACAAGCAAAATATTCCGTTTATCTCACAAACTGATAGCCTCATGTCTTGCATTGCTTGTTCCTTCTCATGTACAGTTCTGTGAAAAAATATCTGCCCCCTTTCACATTTTCTGATTTTTTGCCACTGATTATCAGAGCCTCGTGTTGGTTCTCCTAATATATAAAGAAAATCTGAGTGAACAAATAGTTGTTCATGAAATAAATGAAACTAGCACTAAAGCCCTCCAACGTGCAAAGTGACTGTGAAAAAAGAATTGCCTCCTTGGATTTAATAACTGGTTGCACCACTTTTAGCTGCAATAACTGCAATCAAATGCTTCCTGTAATTATCAGTTGTTCACATTGTTGTGTAGGAATTTGGACCCATTCCTCCATGGCTACTTGTACCAATTCAATAATATTTGAATGTTTTCTAGGTTAACTGCTTATTTCAGGCCCTGCCACTACATTTCCATGGGGTTTAAATCTGGACTTGGCCTTAGCCACTCCAAAACACTGAATTTGTTTTTCTCCATAGTGTTGCTTGTAAACCTGGGAACTCTTTCTTGCTGCATGGCTCACTTGGACTTAAGATGATCATCGGTCTAATACTCTCCTGAAGAATTCTTTGATACAACACAGAATTCATGCTTCCTTCAATTATGACAAGTCATCAGAGTCCTAAGCAGCAAAGTGTGCTCATCCCACAAAACTACTATTACTATGCTTGGTGGCTGGTATGAGGTTCTACTGTAGATCATAGTGTTTTGTTTCTGCCAGATATAGTGTCATCCACAGAGCCACCAAAAGTTCTACTTTTGACTCATCTCTCCAAAGGTCTGGAGGAACATTCACATACTTTTTGGCAAGCCTAAGATGAGCTTCAATGTTCTTCTTAGTCAGCCATGACTTCCACATTGCTACTTTCCCATTTCTACTCAGTGCTTTTCTGATTATGAGATCATGAACACTGACTTTAGCCAAGGCAAGAAAAGATTGCAGATCCCTGGATTATTTTATGTTGGGCAATTTTATGTTCGACCTTTGGAGTGATTTTGACCGGACAGCTACTTTTGGGAACATTCACTATTGTCCCCAAATATTCTCCATTTCAATATTGCTCTTACTGTGGATCAGTGGAATCCCCAAGCTTAATGTTTTTGAAACCTTTTTCAGATTGATAGGCATCAATGACTTAGCATAAAATGCTTCTGGAATCTGTGCACTGAAAACTTCACAGCGATGAAAGGAACCACTGGTTGTGAGATTTATATGGGCAAGGCCGGTCCTGATTACTTAATGAAGTACTCATACAACTAAGAGGGCAATTACTTTTTCACACCTGAAAATTGCACTGATTCAAAGGGTAATGATTTTTAAATAGATCTATCCATTGTATATATTAATTATACCCACTATAAAAAGCTACTATGGCCCACCAATTCCAGAATACCCAATTGTACTGTTCCAGCCCTTGAGCCTATGTGCAACTGGGCCTCTTGTCTCCTGAAGTAATACAGGCAGCAGTACTGAATAGGGCTGAATTGTTTGGGTCTAAATGAATACAGTACACACAAGCCCTCCTACTCTTGTTCAGTTGTGCTACAATGCCATGCTGCTGGTAGCAGAAGTTAGTCACCCATGGCCTGAGGCCTTCCTGACAAACAACTGTGTAAAATAATCTCAAGTTGCAACTCCCTTGGCTAAGCAGCATTCAACTAGCATTTTTTCTTCCTGCTTATTTCCCTGTACTGCATACGCATGTTCATTAGCTGATCTTTAACTAGACATTTTAAAACAATTGCTTGCAACTGGCTGTCACCCACGTGGGATCTGACATCAGAGTACATCAAAGAAATGTTTCTTTTTGGGGAGGGGAGGAGTGCTTTAATTGACTCAGGATGTCCAGTTCCTGTACTGACTGAATCATTGTTTCCATGAATGTGAGCTGCATGCCCACCACCTGGGATAAAGAACTTATGACTTTCTAATGCTCTAACTTCTTTGGACTTAGGCAATTTAATACTTTGTTTATGGAAATTTTGCCTCCTGGTTTATAACATTCAGCATCTGAAAAAGCCAAGCCACTATATTAGATAAAATTCCATGTCTGTTTATTTTGGTATCTTTTTAATATTCTTTTTACATATGCCTCGATTCTTTCTATTATTCTATAAAAATCTTACATTTCATATAACACAGACAGATGTGCAAGAATCTGAGTTTGCCTTGAGTCTTTGATGAGGAGACTGTTTCCTTACTTTCTCAACAGACCTTACTTGCTGTATGAAAGGATTATTCATTCCCCTTTCTACTTTAAGAAGATAAGAAAAAGGCATCTTTCCTTTCTGCAGAACTCATCCAGACAGTTGTGGGAAGAATTTCTGGCTCAGAATTTATTTGATTTTTGAAACTGCTTGTGGCAGCACTGCCAGCACATGCTGTCTTGTGCATACTTCGAAGCCTTTCCCAATGTGGCACCTTCTAAACATATTAGTCCATATATTCCATTATCCTCAACCAACATGACTATGTGGGATGAACATCATGGACATTCTAATCCAACACATTCAAAGGGTGTTGGGGTAGAGAAAACTGTCGTATATAATAGTCAAGTTATATACCTCTCTTGAGTTAAAGATTGAAAGGAAGGAAATGAAGCCGTCATTGACAGTAAGACTGAAAATTGAATAGCTGTTTAAATAGAAGGCTGCACTTCTCTGCTGATGTAATTAATTTCCTAGTTTACCGATGCTTCATTTCCTATTTCATGGCTCCCTGACTTGCCAGAACAGCAGCAAAAGTAAACTGAGATTTGCACTTGTGCTTCTTGAAAAATAAGAAATCTTAATGTTTCCGATACATAGTTTTAGTTAAAGATATATCTTCAACCTTAGTAAAGATAAAGACACACAAAACAACTGACCATTTCACTAGATATGAAGGCAGTATGGGGTAAACACATCAACCTATTATCAGGCTTCTAATTACAATGGTAGCATTATTAAGATACTGAAAAACAGTATGGAAAAAATCAGCAAAAGAAAATAAAATGCTTCAGTAGCTAAAATTGTTGCCTAATGATAGTTGGGATTATTATCATGTCAGAGTAACAAGATAGGCTTTAACACAAATGATGTTTCCTTCTCATCCATCTTCTGGCTAAGTTCAGCACATGGATAAGCTTCAGAAATACAAGAGAAGTGACCCTTGGAGTGGAGGAGCCACCTGACCAAAACTAGACTACTGATCACATACAGAGAACTGGTCCTTCTATAGGTAACATAATGTGCTTGCCTCAAACGACAGATGCTGGAATATCTGTTGAAGAACTGAACTGCACACTCTGCACTGTATTTGGAATATGCAACAGAGAAGTGGCATAAGAGATAACAATTCAAATGTGGAGAGAAATAACTGTTTGGAAGGAAGAGTAAATG